GGCAATATGGGAGAATTATTCCCATTGTAATTGCTAGGAAACATAAACCTACTGAGGTGTGCGAGGAGAAACCTATGGGCTTGGCTGGACTGGAAGTTTTCTCTTCCACCAACGGCCGAGGTTTCTATCACTCGAAACGATAGAAATGCCACGAGAAACCTATGGGCTTGGCTGGACTGGAAGTTTTTCTTCCACCAACGGCCGAGGTTTCTATAACTCGAAACTGTAGAAATGCTAGGAGAAACCTATGGGCTTGGCTGGACTGGAAGTTTTTTTTCCACCAACGGCCGAGGTTTCTATAACGCGAAACGATAGATGGTTCACAAATGCTAGAAGAAACCTATGGGCTTGGCTGGACTGGAGATTTTTTCTTCCACCAACGGCCGAGGTTTCTATCACGCGGAACGATAGATGATTCACGAACTACTGCATTAATTTCGATTATGGCGAACTGGGCCGTGAAGGGGATCTCGTCGCCAGGACTATAACGAGGAGTGCTTGGTTTTTTTAATGCACGGTGGGCATTTCCAAGTACAAGTTAAACGAGGAGTGCTTGGTTTTTTTTAATGCACAGTGTGCATTTCCAAGTACAAGTTAAACGAGGAGTGCTTGGTTTTCAATGCACAGTGTGCATTTCCAAGTACAAGATAAACGAGGAGTGCTTGGTTGTAGATGCACAGTGTGCATCCCCAAGTACAAGTTAAAACTAGACCGAAGTCAAAAGAAGAGGTAGAGCGTCCTCGTCCCTCGATTTTTTGAATTTTTTTTTCGAAATTTAAAATTTTTTCCATGAAATATGCTAATTTAGAAACGAAAAAAAGTTGTAAGGCTTACCTGTACGCAGTAGATCGTCCAGTATTAAATTCCTTCTCGAATCTTCTTCTGATATGTGCACTTATCAAGACGAAGGGGGAGCGGTTTGGGTAGGGGTGGGGGAAAGGGACCTACTTGAAAGAGATGTATTTTTTTAATGAAAAAAAATTTGTTGTTAGTTAAAGTTATTTCAAAAGTGTGTAATACTCAAAAAGTTGATCTCGCCGGGACCTCCATATCAGATTACAGGTTCATGACTCCTGTATCTGAAGGTGTGTAGCGGTTTTGAATACAAAAGAGTTTTAGGCTATACATATTTATCATAATAACATCAAAGGGGAAAGGAAGGGAGTGGAAGACGGTCGGGGGTGGACCGTCACATCGTGAGTACTCACTACCACTGGCGGTCGTCTCGTCTTCCAGTCGCCTTGCGCCAGCTTCCTGCGATACCGTAATCTCGGGCCACGCCCATCCAGGTCGTGGACCCGACAACCTCCATTCCTTCAGAGTGAGAAAGACATTACGGACGAGTTTTCCGGCATCGTGAGTAACCACTATGGTAGATACGACTGTATGTACTCATATATTCATGCAGTACGCGCCGCTTCATCTCAATCCCTTCGCTTCATATTAGGTTGTCCGGAAAGTTCTCAGCGTTTTGTGCACCTATTTTTTGTACATTCACTGCTGATTAAAAACTCATTCTGCCTTGCTTCTCAGTAGCACATCCTGTAGAGAATTTCTTGCGCTATCTGATGGTATAATTGCCGTTTCACCATTGCTTGATAAACCCCTTTTTTTTCAAGCATGTGAAAAGAGCACTTCGGACGATTTTTTTCTTCGGCTATAAATTGGGGCAATCCGCAATCGAAACAGCTCAACAAATTAACCAGGTGGGGGCCCAATAGTGCTAGAGAAAGCACTGTGCGGCAATGGCTCAACAAATTTCGTTCTGGAGATTTCAGCCTTGAAGATGAACCTCATAGCGGTCGACCTAAAGCAATATCTGACGAGGATTTTAGGGGGATTTTGGAGGCTGACCCATCCCAAACAGTTCGAGAGATAGCAGAAGAGCTAGGCCTTGGCAAATCCACTGTTGCAGATGGTCTGGAACGCATTGGGAAGGTGAAAAAACTCGACAATTGGGTGCCCCACAATCGGAGTGACCGGCAGGAATCGGCACGTCTCGAGGTTCCTTCTGCATTGCTTTTGCGCAGCAGAAACGACCTGTTTTTGGGCCGAATTGTCACCTGTGATGAAAAATGGGTCATGTATGATAACAGGAGACGTTCCGGACAGTGGTTGGATTTCGACGAACCACCGAGGTAATTTTCAAAGCCGAACCCTCACGAAAAAAAGATTCTGGTCACGGCTTGGTGGTCATCGGCTGGTGTGATCCACTATAACTTTTTATCACCAGGCCAAACCATCACAGCAGAACCCTACTGTGAAGAAATCGACGAATGTACCGAAAATTTTGTCAGATGCAGCCAACACTTATCAAAAGAAAGGGTCCGATTCCTTTGCATGACAACGCCCGCCCACACGTTTCACAAATCACTATCCATAAATTGAACGAATTGGGGGTTGAAGTTCTACCTCACCCACCATATTCTCCAGACCTTTCACCAACCGACTATCACCTTTTCAAACATTTTCAGAACTTCCTTGCTGGAAAATACTTCATCAATCAGGACCAGGCAAAAAAGCCTTAGTGGATTTCGTGAATTTTCGACCACCCAGTTTTTTACTTTGATGGGATTTCTCGACTGCTGTCACATTGGCAAAAGTGTGCTGATTCGAATGGTGCCTATTTCGATTAAATCCGATGAGTATTAAAAAAGTTACGATCGTTTAAAGTGAAACACCCAAAACGCTGAGAACTTTCCGGACAACCTAATATAAAATGAAGCAATACGAATCAATACGGTCGTCCAGGGGGCTGGCGCGATGAGCGTCCGGGTCGGTATGCTGCAGCTTGTTAGGGCCTTCATAAGGGAACCTCCCTTGGAAAAGGCGCTACGCGCTGCCCCTGAGGTGCGCCGAATCCCATCCTGTCCGGCGTATTAATCCATCTAGTCTTAGGAAACTTATCGTGTATCAGATTACAGGTTCATGACTCCTGTATCTGAAGGTGTGTAGCGGTTTTGAATACAAAAGAGTTTAGGCTATACATATTTATTATAATAACATCAAAGTAAAGGGGAAGGGAACTTGGACTGGGTGGAGGACGGTCGGGGGTGGACCGTCACATCGTGAGTACTCACTACCACTGAGTCCTACTCTCGTCTTCCAGTGCCTTGCGCCAGCTTCCTGCGATACCGTAATCTCGGGCCACGCCCATCCAGGTCGTGGACCCCGACATCTCCATTCCTTCAGAGTGAGCTCGTCCTCGAGCTCAAGCATATGACATTCCAGTGTCCTCAGATGTAACGTATTGAGGTAAAATACATGTTGAACTGTTGAACGATCCAAATGATAGATTAATGGATGAATGCAGGTGAGGTCAGAGAGTTACCGGAAAGATAACCACGTCTTCGCTCACAACAGCGCTGTCGTTCAACAACACTGAGGAGATACAATTCTTTCAGACATAGGAGATGATATCAAGACGCAGGAAAAAATGACACAGATCCTGTTCATCTTGGAAACCGGGATCGGTATCGGAAAAGACGAGGCGGTTCTCGGGACCGCGACCTGGATGGGCGTGGCCCGAGATTACGGTATCGCAGGAAGCTGGCGCAAGGCAACTGGAGGACGAGAGTAGACTCAGTGGTAGTGAGTACTCACGATGTGACGGTCCACCCCCGACCGTCCTCCACCCCGTCCAAGTTCCCTTCCTTTCCCATTGATGTTGTTATAATAAATATGTATAGCCTAAACTCTTTTGTATTCAAAACCCGCTACACACCTTCAGATACAGGAGTCATGAACCTGTAATCTAATATGGAGGTCCCGGGGAGATTTGAACTCCCGTCGCAGGATTCAGAGTCCTGAGTGCTAACCGCTACACCACGGGTGGAGGACGGTGAGGGGTGGACCGTCACATCGTGAGTACTCACTACCACTCCGAGTCTACTCTCGTCCTCCAGTTGCCTTGCGCCAGCTTCCTGCGATACGTAATCTCGGGCCACGCCCATCCAGGTCGTGGACCCGACACGTGCTAACTGCCTTTGAAGGAAAAAACCCATCAATACTTGTTATTTCCTTCCATGCCACTCACATAGTTCTCCACTTTTCAATTTCCGGATTCTGAAGACTTCTCGCCTTTACAAAGCCTTTCAGGTAACAGGTTTTCACAAGAGTGAGAGTGACGCTGGAGAGTACTGTTTTTTTTTTCGTATTTTTCTTATAACTGCTGGCCTCCCCCGTGTTACGCTGGGTATGGATCAGAGCAGTCAAAGAAAAAGACCCCTAGAAACTTGTTCGATTCTACCTGAGAGAGCGTTTCTGCAACAGATTTTATATTTTCCCGCGGCTATTCCTGATCTTCTGAAGATCGGCCGCCGTTAGCAACGAAAGCTAGGCTTCTGGGTCGAAGAGCTAATGACGATGGGAAGGAAACGCTTCAGTACATGGCATGTTGCAAAAACCAGTGATGGCGAGCACGTCACTTTCCTTGGTGAGATGACAGATGTAGCCTATGCGCCACAGAATGGTTCCCAAGGAACACAACCAGGGACACCGTTGATCCGCTGGTTCCATCCTTCGTGAACTGTTTCAAAGAATTAATCTCCTGCTTCTCTGAGAGTCTACTGCTTTGTATGCAAGTTGCCAGAAGGTAAGGAAAAACTGTGGCCCCTTTGATGACCCTTCAGCTAGTGGAAAAGTTCCACTAGCTGAAGGGTCATCAAAGTACGGCTGATTTTCGAGGCAGGAACACCTGTGGGGAAAATCAAAATTCAGGATCAAAAAACCTTCAGAGTAAATTCACAACCTCAGTTTTCGACCAGAGTAAAGGAGATGTATGTATGCAGGTGTGCTAAGCCTCACTAGATATCTAGCTCAGAGCAGATCAACGGCTTAGAACTCTGACATGTATTAGTCATAGTTACTTTTTCGTCGGAGGCGTCAGCTGAGTCCCACAGACTGCAAGTCATTTAAGTGCGAAGAAACTTTATCAGTATATTTTATTCGAGTTCACTCGCTCTTTGAACTACCTACAAAAGTCATCTACACAATCTCATCTACTCTTGCTTCTTCTGTCCCGGCTGCCATGCTTGAATTTTCGTACGAGTTGTCGAGTAGGGGACGTACTTCTTGTCTCTAGAATAATAATATAGAAATTTGATGGAATTAAGACCAGTTTTGAATAAGAAGGTGCATCTGAGTGTTCAATACTCGCCGTCTTCACCACCACTACAGTCACTTCTACCTTTAACACATTGACGACCGCGTGATTCGCATCCAATGCGCGCTTTGTAGGCCGCGTGGGACCGCGCGAATTGTATACGAATCACGGTGAACAAATCCATATCTTTCACTAGTGCATGATTTTGTTTAGTTTCTCCTATTCATTCTATAGTCCAGTCCTTACAAGGGAATGGTTTGAACTTCCCATGGAACTTTGAATGGAGACCTAGGTACATCGATAGAGCCTCGAATGCTGATTACGAATATGCAGATTAAAAGTGCTACGGGGACCTCCCAGACGAGATCTGGGTGGTCAAAGTTTGAGTTCTGGCTCGTAAGCGCTGCTGATCGATGCCTCGGCAGTGCCACCGTGGCCTGTGGTAATGGTCTCGCTTTCAAGTCAAACGCATGCGGGTTGCATCCGGTTGGCGCGGAAATTTTTGCTTCGCTCCGTATAAGAGCTTCAAAACTTTATTTTTTTAACAAATTCTTCGATTTATTGGCCGCATCAAATCAGCGGGCAAGTAGATCAAGTACATCAAGTATACGACGTACTTGATCTAGTATGGATTTGGTCATATCTGCCCTCTCTGAACATATTACCCATCCGACAATTCAAAGTTTTGCCCAGAATCGCAATTTGGCCAGACGAGCGTTTTTTCGTCGAAGGATGTGATATTCGTGTTCAGGGGGTCGAAATCTCCCATGAACGAATTTCTCGCTAAAACTTTGAATTGTCGGATGGGTAACCTGTTCAGAGAGGGCAGATATGACCACATCTATACTAGATCGAGTACGTCGTATACTTGATGTACTTGATCTACTTGCCCTGCTGGGCCGTAAATTCGGAAGAATTTCGAAAATTAGAGTTGAAGCTCTTATACGGAGCGAAAGCAAAAGTTTTCGCGCCAAACCGGATGCAAACCCACATCGTTTGACTTGAAAGCGAGACCATTACCACGAGGCCACGGTGGCACTGCCGAAGCATCGATCAGCAGCGCTTACGAGCCAGAACTCAAAACTTTGACCACCCAGATCTCGTCTGGGAGGTCCCCGTAGCACTTTTAATCTGCATATTCGTAATCAGCATTCGAGGCTCTATCGATGTACCTAGGTCTCCATTCAAAGTTCCATGGGAAGTTCAAACCATTCCTTGTTAGTATATCTACTAAGCAACTGGTACGCATGGAATAGTCTCAGCAACATCTATAGCTTAGCAAAAGAACTTTTTGGGAAACATGCATCCTTTGCTTGAAGATTGTTTTGCTCCTTTACTCTGTTGGTTTGCTGATGAACCTTGCTTGGATTGTTTTGCTCCTTTACTCTGGATTGGTTTGCTGATTAACTTTCTGCCAACAAATACAGACAATTACAATATTGATAATGATGAAAAAATATTAGGTGAAGGATTCTGAATCCTATAGAAAGCACGATTTGCGTTTTTTATGAATTGTTGGTTACAGACTATTTCCTGGCCCTGGTGCCAAAGAGAGGGCTAGCCCAGATTTTTCGCCGTGTAAATAATTGATTTACTTCTTAACTGCTCTAAAAACTAGGTTTTTCGATCCAATCTCCTAAAAAAGCGCTTCGTGGGACGGCCTGAAGTGTATGCATGCCGCGCTTGTGCCGTTCAAGAAAGCGCGCCCGTCCCACGTGGGTCGAAAAGTAAAAACCGCGCGGTCGTCAATGTGTTAGCTGATCGTACGGGCAGATTCACTAGCGCCAAGACGCTGTCCTCACTGATGGGTTCATTCTCTATGTCATGTTTCCCAACATCAAGAAGCGCACCTGTCTAGTGGTAAGTAACTTTGTCCATACGATCAGCACGGAGTGTGCCTTTAAGCCAATGCAAGGAAACTTACTGGAAAATGGACAGGTTTTCTTCTGTTGGCATCACCGCATACTCTTCGTTTTTTGGACAGGGTTCTGGAGTGTGGCGTGTCATGCGGCTATGTGATGAAGCCAGCGATGCCTTAAATGTCAAAGTGATGACGACTAGATTTCTTGCAGCAATTCAACCTTCAAATGTAGGTTCTAGTGCTAACGCTGCTTACGGTAGCACATGGCAAGTCATTTCATCTTCTTCCTTTGGTGGATATATCGCATCAAACAAACAAGAAACGCTTCTCCTTCATCGGCTAAAGACTAATAAAATGTGCCAGGCTCAAAGGAAAACTGCACTTGTAGATAGCGTTCACATCTGTCAAGATTCGAACTAGAAGCATGCGATACTGCCACGCTACACCCCCATGGAAAAAAATGAAACACGAAACTTTCTTGTAGAGACCAAATCAACGATTTCAAAAAAGAGAGGGTTCATTACAATCCTAGACAGAGGAGGAATATGACAAAAGGCAAACCCGCTTAGCATAGGTTCACCCAGTCATCTTTATGTAACGGCCATGGAATTAAGCGAGGGAAGTAGTCGCCAAGTTGACTCAATGGTTTGAATCGTCCTGGTAATGTGTCGTGTTTTAGCTACAACCCCGCCCTCTCCAAAATCTCTCCTCGTCGAACGGGATTTTCTAGGCACCTGGAAAGATAAGCCGGGGAGGATCAATTTACGACGAAATCGGTACACACGGCATCGCTGAGGGTTGGTAGCACAGTGAACAATTTCCCAGCACTACTTGTCTTTGACGCAAACCTGTCGTAATCAACAATCAACAATGAATTTGATTCAGAAACAGCAAAAATGATACGGATTAGCTTACCACTCTGGAGGAACTTGTGATGCATCGTAATCGAGCCATACCTGGAACATCACAATTCGTCCTCAACCTTGGCAGTAGTGGTGAACCAAACTAAAAACTTACCTTTTCCGGGTATTCAACCCATCTATTGCGAGGCATGAAATACGAATTGTCTTCGTAATATTTATTGCCGAACTTGTCTTCTCCGACTAGAGTACCTACTCGCGTCACATCCATATCTAAAATACACTCAAACCCTCTAATAAAAACGATTAGAAATATGATTTGCTCCAAACAAGAAGATTTTTTATTTAAAATATCCTTGTCCACCAATTAAATGGCACTTCTGCCCAATCTTCTGTGGACACGTATATTTGAGCTAACTGGCTTAAGGGAAAAAAAAAGGACACGTTTCGCGTACGTTCGGAACTTCCAGCGAGGGGAGTGGCGTATTTTTCACTGAAGGGGAGGGCCCGTATCTGCCTTTGAAAAAAAATGTTTTCGGTTGTTGACTTTCCGTGATTTTTCCCGTTTTGACGTGCGCTATACATGTATCGCTTCCTTCCCCCTCCCTCTCCCGCAACGACAGACTTTCTGGGGAAAAAGCAGAAAATATTTGGCAGGAAACAAGGGAAATTTTTTGGAAAAAAAAAACTAGAAAAACGGAAGTCGAGGAAATTGTGGAAGGTGGTAGGTAGGATGAGATATGGTAGAATGGGGAAGAGGATCGTACCAAAATTCAAAGGGGTTGTATTTTACCAGAAAATTCCCCCAACGACAGATCTTCTCTGCTTTTCCATCAAACTGAACAATTCTCAGAATGAGCTGAACACGGTTTCAAAAGCTGAACGCTTCCCAATTCTACTTGCTCGCCGCACATTTCCCCGCCCACTTGATTTGCGCAAGGATCCAAAAAATCGTCAATTTGGTTTGAAAAGGCGCTCCCATTATTTTGAAAAGCGAAGCAATTTAGAAATGGAACGAATTGCTAATTATACTTTGCACCTTGTAAAAATAAAGATCCATTTTATCATATAAGAAACACCATTGTATAATCAATAAAGATCAATTTGATCAAAAAGTAACAAACTCACAGATATCGTTTTTTGAGAGCAGCACGAACTCCTCCCATCTGTTTAATTAATTCTTCCAAGCTTCTGTAACTTCTCAATACCCAAATATTCTTTCAGGCCCATCTAAACAAGCAACAAACTACCAAACAGTTCGCATATTACAATCCTAGTAGTGATATGACTTCCAAATCGGTAAATATAAGGAGAATATACCGACCAAAATGAGCAAAAAAATAACACTAAACACCAAATGATTTATTCCATTAAAATCCTTATAATGACAAATCCGAACGATCACATGAGCAGCCAATTAATGCAACCAAAATATTTAACACCGCGTCGTTTACAGTTTCAAACAATTATTGAAAAGGAGACCTATTTGCCAGTCAAAAACCGGTGCATTACAAGCGATCACTTGGGTAACGAAGAAGGTAAGTAACGCTTCACCCCGTCAACGAGTTTATGAACACAGCTTGACCACCACAACGGCATTGATAAGTCCAGCATCTTTAAGGTCGACAGATTCATCATCGATTACCTCAAAAGTTACGTATAGAAATAACGTTACTAGAACTACTGCAACTTTAGTAAAGGAACAACAGAAACAACCGCAGTTTCGAATGTTCGAGAAACAATGGGCATCGACCTTCTCTTAATCTTGACACTGATGTATCTTCAAGCGAGTGTATAGATTAAGCCCTCTAAGATGTTTATAATTTATTTGGTCAACGTTTCGGCTTCATCACCCTCGTCAGGCCAGAAAGGGTCCAAAACAAATGAGATCCGTCTCAAACCACTGCACAAACTTAAGGTTATTTCGAGATTCAAGTGAGCCACGTGAGGTAATGATTCATAAGGGTGAGTAGGATTACCTTGGTCTCAACCGCGATGACGTGAGATACCTTTAGGCGATTTACTAGGATCTCTAAATAGTCTTAAGTTTTCGTGGAGTCGTTTAAGGTGACAAATCCCACTTGTTTTGGACTCACTCAGGCTCTAACGAAGGTGATAAAGCCGAAACGTTGGCCAAATAAATCATAAAAATATTTTACGCTCAACCTATGCTCGCTTGGACCGCAGAGATCCTGCGAAAGAGAAAAAAGAACTGTAAAAAGTTCCATAGTGAATGCAACATACCCTATTCGGAAACGTTGTCATAAGTTGAAAAGCTGTAGCAGCCATGTCTGGATAGGCACTAAACAGTCCACTTCAACTAGGAAACCTTGGCTGAGAACGAAAATCTACAAGTATTCAAACTCACGTGACCAGGAAGTTTCTAATCGCCCCAACTGTATGCGCCTGATTGAATTTCCCGCTAACACGTTGCCCGTTTGGGAGACGAATTTGCACCTAAAGTCGAATTATGAAGGGGGAAAAATCCAGAAGATGATTAGTAGAGGAAATCCGGAACACATATGACAAATGTTCTGGCATTCCAGACCGTGTTCATTCTTCGTGCAGAGTATACGGTTATGGGGCTGCTGTCAACTCAAAATTCTCTCGCTATGGAAGATCAGACGACTGACCACTTTTCAGGGCGCAGGTACCTGTTTTGTAGAATGCGTAGCAAGATAATGGTTGCGGATAAACGACGCGCATATCAACGAATTAGTGCCCCTCGCATGACAAGTAAACCAAAGGATTTCCCCTGTATGATATTGTAAAGTGCGATCGACGGGGCACTCGATCGACGGGACACAATGCGAATAGGAATACGCTCAACAACATAAACTAACTTACACGTCGCTGTAACGCCCACTGGCGCTCTTGGACGATTGTCTTCCACCTGCCAAAGATGATAGCGAAAACGCAGTCAGGCGACGTTAAAGCACCCCATTTGCCTTATTGGGGAATGAAAATAGACATAAGATTGCGGTTATACGCAATCAGACGGCTACCTAAGGTCTTTAAATGTCAGCTCAAGGAAGAACACTTGTTGAAACAACAACACAAGAAATGTAGTTGAGGAGGGGAAAGTGGATAAACTCAGCTTTGGCTCAATCCCTCCAATTGAGCTGATTTTCTGCTCTTCTCTGCGCTCTGTTGTCTGCATTGTATGCAGAGCACGGCATAAGTTGGGGATCCCTAGCGAAGGGGCTTGTATTCAGTCGCTGGGGGAGGGGGCGTATTTGCCTATGAGAGAATGTTCTCGAATGAAGACTTTTCCTTTTTTCCGTTTTTTTTTTTCCGTTTTCAAGTGCTACATATCACCACCGCAGCCCCTCTCGCTCAAGGACAGTTTCTCGGGGGTTCTCGAATAAAGACTTTTTTCTTTTTTCTCCGTTTTCAAGTGCTACATATCACCACCGCAGCCCTCTCTAGCTCAAGGACAGTTTCTCGGGGGTAAACTGGGAGTTTTTCGATGGGAAGTTGGGAAAATTCAGCACGATGGTAAGTAGCATGGAAATGGAGCAAGGGGACGGTCGTACAAGAGAAGGACATTTTGAAAGAGGGGGAGGGTCGCATTTAGCAGAATTTTTCTCCGATGGCAGGACGTGCTCTGATTGTATGACCACTGTGGCTTCATAGCTGCCAACTTTTCATAAAATACAGCTTACACGACCCAAAGCCGCTCGCTCCCCTGAAAAAAGCCCATCCATTCTCTGAGCTACTACATGTCGTGCAAGTCTCGCGCTTTTCCCCAATGAACGCAGTCAAAAAAGGATGTAGAAGACCGCGATCAATGAACAAAACAACTTGTACCCAAAAACTATTGCTCATAAAGATACCTGAGTAACAGGAGAATTCTCATCTACATTCAATTCCGCTTGTGCTTTCGCAATGTTGTCCACAGAATCTGAACAGAACATGATTAAATCTCCAAGCGGGAAGGATAAAAGTACAACTGGGAGCCTACGGACCTGCGCTCGCAGAAGAAGATGGTGCTGGTGCGGACGACACAATTTGCGGTACTACGGCTCCAAGACGTGCTCCTGCTCCCTTCAAATGAGCATAATAGAAACTACAGAAACTGCGCTGAGTGAAAAATAAACGAGGAAGATAAACATGTAATAAACAATTACCATATACAATCCTTCTTGCTGGCGATCCTGGGGCTTGTCATGTAGCTGGCTTTGGCGTGGCGCAAACCGATTCTCCACCGATTTTGGAGCGCGCAAACAAAAGCATTGGTGCAAAAACGGCCGACGCCTCGCCAAACCAGCCGCCCTGGCATGCCCCGGCATCCGTAACTAACAAGACAGATACCATTTGTTTCGGTAAGCTTTTATGTATCATAACATTCAGGATTCCCTCGCGTATGAGGACAGCTGGAAGTCTACCAATGTAGAATAGTCTACCAACTGTTTAATTAGAAATCATATAATATCCAACAGGAAAGAAAAACAGAAAACTTTTTCAGCTAGCGTTGATCCCACTCTGTCACGGATCCGCAAACAGAAGAAAAGATCTCACAGATTTTTTTTTCCGAAATAGCTGGACTTTACGGTCGTAGGTACTCATTAAAGCCGTAAATTGTACCACACTTCAACTAGTGGTGCTGACTTTTTACTTCGGCTGACTCTATTTATGCTAATGTTAACAAGCTGCCAACTCTCTTTATGTTAATTATTTCTTTGAAAAAAATCACCTGGAATGGCTTCAACTTCGGGGGCTCGTAGGGTCCTGTGCGTTTTTGCATACGCAAGTCGATACGTCGGCGAGGATGAGCTGCCAGCAGTTCTGCTGGTACACGGCTAAAAAAGGTTAAAAAGCTTGAGCTCGATGAACAGTCTTTTTGAAAATGAAGGTGAAAGGAGTCAATCCGCGGTAGAAAAAACCTTGCGCAGTGAGAAAGTACAACCTTGTCAATAAGAAATGTAAACGTTTCCAAACAAAGACCAGTAATAAAAATGAGGAAAAAACCTGATTTGTTCAAGGAAATAGATGGGGAAAGGGGAAAGATAAGGGCACTCCTAGAGCACTAAGTGAAGAGCAGTGAAAGCTCACCCCTGCATTATGCTCTGAAGGAACTGTTGACTCTCTGGATCTTCGAAAGAGCGTAATGGTCCGTCATCAATGGAGAAACCATTTTCCCACATGAACAGCTCAACAACAACCTGCAAAGATGTTTCACAGGAATTAAAGACATACAAAGCAGAGTAGACTTACCTCCTCATGCTCGCCAGTGTCACTTTCTCCGCTACTGCCATCATCCACAGGGTACTCTCCTAAGCGTACTCCACCACCTCCAGTACGACCATGCCGAGGCTAAATATGCTACTTGTAAGCGAAATCACAGTAATCCTACAACGAAAATGGAAAGGCACAATATATGAAAGAAAGCAAACCGTAGAGAAATCAATTACATTGTGAGCGTTCAGGCGAAACACCTACCCTCGGCGAAAGGTCACTTGAATTGAGTGCCTCAGCTCCATGTTGTCTGGCTGCATCAAAGACACGTTCAGCTATGCTAGCACGTCCAGGTCTCTCGGGGCCTAGCACTTGCTGTCCACTGAAAACCAGTCCAATTTATAAAAAATGGGTTAGTTTAACCGCTTGCTGTAACGGCCTTTCTTGCCGCATCACAAAGTGTGCGTCCCAATGCTGTGATGCAAAATAAGAATTTTCAAAAACATCTCAAATTTTCGACAATCACTCAAATGTCGAATGGGAAGGAACTACAGAATTTTCGGCGACTGCATGTTCATACTTCTAATAGCGAGTGTTTTGCATTAACATTGCACGGAGCTAGTTCTCGGAGGTAGAAAATGTATGTTTCAAGATACAAAACCGGAAGCTTATATGGAACCAGGTAATGCAAATGCGCTGAAACAAGTTCTGATAATGGGTGAGCTGGATAGGGTCACCGCTATGAGTTCTGGACAAAGAAGAAAAATTCATTCATGACCACTCGGTTCGCTTTGTGGACAACTCATGTCATCCATCATGAAGACTTTAATGATAGTCGATGCTCAGGCGCTTTGGACATCGTAGTCTTGCCTGTCAGCATGAAGCATGTAGTACTCTTGCAGCTCGAAAATGCGTGAGGAAAGTCGTACAGAACCAAGGCTCCGCCCACTGGCCACAATGACGCCCAACTTCCATTTCTATCTGCTACGTAATGGTGCGGCTGTTCCGCTGCGATCTCTCTCCATTTCGAATGGTGAGGGTGAGGTGGTAGAGTCACCACACCAAGTGAAAGCTCATTTGACCATCCCCTTTCTTCGTCCTATGCACGTACAATCGGACTCCATGGGTTTCTATATGGGGCAATTGGACGGCTTATTAGTGCTTTTGCCTTCACTTGCGTGTTATTTACCGTCTCTTTGTTAGTATCTGAGCCAAATCACCATTTCTGAATGCGGGGCGGAGCCTCTAACAATAAGTAAACAGTCACCATTCGTTAAAGACCAATACGCTGCCTGTTCTCGAATGGAATATCTCCGGTTTCCTGGTGTTTATACCAGCGCGGTACCGCCATAACAAGCGACAGCTCTTCTGAAGGGAACCCAAGTGCTCCCGCAGATTCCACAGAGAGGCCCTAGAGGATTTGATAATACAAAACTGTTCAGGAGCAACCTAACTGGTTGGATGGAAGCTTCAACACGGCTGCAACGCACACCCTCTGCGGTGACCAAAAGAACAATCTACCATTCACAAGGGGTGACAAATTAGGAAAGCTTTCATTTTTTTCTATAACAAATTGTTAAAAATGTCGCAGTACTTTCTTTGAAACCTAGTGCTTCTGAAATTCAAATTAAAAATGTTTTGTAAAGTATGATCGCGTGCATATAATATGTCTCAAAGCCTCCATAAACATACCTGTGCTCGGAGCCGCCAACGAAGAAACCTTGCCGTTCGCCACCATCCGACTCTTCACCACTGTCGTGATCATCTTTTGGCATATTATGCAATGTGCGGATACTTAAAGTTTAAATAAAGAAATAGCATTTTGTAAAGAATTTGAAGAGAAATAGAACGAAATAAACAAACGTACTTTCTGCTCATGACCAAATCCGAAACGAGTAGATCGAACCTGAAAACAGATAAACGTTTTGCATATCAAACAAGCGAACATTGGAGTCTTAAACAAAATCACACTATACAGAAATTGTCAAACGGGAACGAGAGCGATGACAACTTTATAAAATAGGCGTCGGAGGCGTGTTTGGATGAAATTGCACAGACAGCGCGCTAAAAGACGTGATTATGATTTACCATTATCGTGAAGGAGGGGAGACGGCAGGGCACATCATCCTTAGGAATCCTCCAACATGGGGCTCGTATCTGGTCGCCGGGGAGGGGGGAGGGGGAGAGGGAGCCCTATTTGGTCTGAGAGGTTTTTTTTGATAGTTGATTTTTCTTTCGGACGCCATAGGGAAGGGGTCTTATATGCCTTCTGGGAGAGATGTAGGAAAATCTTTCCTGGTTCTTACTTCTCGAGGTTATTCCTGTTTCACATGGTTGTAGAGTGGGAAAATTTGGAGATTTCCGGAAGAACTGGGAAAAGTGGTTTATAGGAAGAAGGTAAGGGCTTCACATTCTCCTAGCGGTTTTTACCGTTTCACATGTGCTATAGCCTTCCCACCCCCCGTTCGACTGCTCGATCTTATCAAAGGGAATCAGGTGGTCGTACCAAGCCAACCACTAGGGGCGGGGGTCGTACGGACTCGACTGTCTTCAACTAGTGATGCGTTCCACCTAAGGCCGGGTGCAACGGTTTGTCCACAAATCAGCACAATCTTGAAACATTTTGAAATTCACGGACCTTTTTCTATTTGTTAAAGCTCACCATTAGCAAAGTGCTATGTGTTGTCGATGTCAAAAATGGAATTGTGACTTCAGTTGTTCAACTATGGAGTTGGGTAAGGGCGTTAGTTGTGAGTACCGGGCGTGAGGACTCGGCGCGGCCACGTCCTCTTATGTAAACACAAACTGAACACCCACCTCCGCGGTTCTTGATCCATGCCGTGTGAGGTGTCAATGGGTCCTCACCTACAGCAGTATCACGTTTCCGCCGGAGGCGGGGCTGGGTCTATTGACAATTTCAGTTTTTTTTAATCGCGCCGAGCTTCTGTTTTTATACGCGCACTCGCGTCTACGGTAGTCTTTGGAAAGAGTGACCTTGCACATCCAAACGTCTACGCCTGATGAGAGGCTCATCCACCCCGGAGTCACCCTCCCCCGAAAAAGCTCGCGCCCTGGCTCACGGCATGCTACAGTCCTCATCATTGCGGACCGGTGGGGCGTGTCAGCCAGTATGAGTGTGCACACTGTTGAAGCCGTTCTCAGCCTTTTTGCTGAAACGCGTATGCGACAAAAAGTGGTAGAAAACGAGTAATACGAAGGATATAATACAGTAATGTCACTTGCCCGCTTCAACAACTGGTGCAGAACGACTTTGGCACCGCGCCAAACGCAGCCGCACTGACACGCCCCACCGGTCCGCAATGATGAGGACTATACCTTTAACTGCTTTAGCAGACGCAATCCACTGTTGGTCTGCTCTGGGACGAGCGCAGAAAGTCTAGTTGTCACGTAAGCGCGTGACTGGAATGAGACCGTCTCCGGTCTCCGTATGCGCTGCCATGAAACAGCCACATAACA